GTTAGTGTCTGTTTGGTTTGTCATTCAGAAAATAATTTTTTTATTTTAATAGAATTGAGAATCATATATCTGTAAAAAAATTATTTTTGAAAATTCAATTTATAAAAAAGTATGTGTTTTTAGATTTACAAACTAAGCATACCCTTAATTATTTTTGTCTAGGTAAGTCCTAATACTAGTACGGTCAAGGACGCGAGTGATAGTTTAACAGGTGCCAATGGACCAAAAGTGGTGGTGGATGCAGAGGGCAGGTGACATAGCGCTACCAGGAGTGGTAGTGTGGGTGGAGGAATTGGGGGCGTTACTGGTGGTTGTGGTGGTGGGAGTGCTTGTAATGGCACCACTGTTACAAAAGATGTGGTGGACTGGTGGTAGAGATGGTGTTTGAGGTTGTGTTGTAGAATTTCTGTCTGTAATAAAGCCCAATTTCTACGAAAGCCTAAGGCCCATTTCTGAATGTCTACAAGAAGCCCAAATTCTTGCTTGTCTTCTTATTTTTGCCCAACACAAACCCATAGATAAATTGGGCCCAATTGGCGCTAAATTCTTATCTCACCGGTGTCTCTTCTCTCTCTCTCTCTCTAATCTGAGTATACCCATTTGCAGTGGCCATTCGTATTATCTTCGACTATCGTAAGCACACTCATTTCTTTGATAATCGAACTGTGTAGACATACATATATATATATATCTATATATGTATTATACGCCACAAATACTGAATTGCCATGAAATTTGAATATTGAGGCTGAAATTTGAGGTTTGTGTTGGTAAGAAAAATGAAAGTGCTGCTTATTTTTAGTTCATATAATTTATATGTATCTTTTACTGTTGCAATTTGCCCAAAATGAAAGTGCTACTTAATTTGTTTTTTTTGAAGGTTAATTTGTTTGATTGCTTGTATTGCTATTATGATATTGTAATCGTAGAATTTTTTGGAATTTCACAAATAATTTGGGCATTATTCTAAGTGAGTTACTGGGTAATATTTATTTATGCAGGGCAAAATCAGGTTTTGATTGTTTTTTCAAGAAATTGGATTAGCTTATTTGAAGCATAGCTTGTTGATTTGGAGTTAAAGTTGGAATCAATGATAGTTTTAAGTAGCAATAATCCAATTTCCTTCTTGTTTTCCTCAAATGGACAAAATCAGGTTGACTGTTAATTTTTATCTTGTCACTTATCTTCTCATTGCCCTAAAATGCCATATTGCTCTATAAATGTTTCTGATCTGAACTTTCTATACCGACGGTTAGAGGACAGCCAGAGTAGATAATCCTTCTGGTAGGGTTTGGGTTTTCTAATTGTGGATTTTCTTCAGTGCAGAAGGGTACAGGGTTTATTGTCTTCATGCCGAAGGCAAGTGAGGATAAATTGTATTTGTTTCCTTTTGATTTTCCTAAAATGTTATTGTGCAACAATAAAATTAATTAATGGGTTTTAAATTCCCTTTTCTTCGGTTTTGAAAATTTTCTGTTGATTTGTAGGTACCTTGTATCTCGCTCGTCAAGTGTTCCCACCACAATCAAAGTAGACAATCACTAACTAATTCCAATGCTGTCGAGAGTAGGTGATTTCTCCCGCTAAGAATATGAGTAGCATTATGATTTCTAATCGTCTGATGTTTTGGTAATGATGTCATGTATCAGTTGTTGTCACTGTAACTGTTTTCCTAGATTTTCAAAATTGCTTCACTGGGATTTTCTTAGCAGAGAGTGCAGGAAAAATGATTAAGAAGGCAGGAAAGAGAGAACATCACTTGTGGAAGAAAAGAGAGTCAGCTGGGTCTGGGCAAAAGGCACTTGATCTTTTTCGAATTGTATGTATGATTTTTATTAATTTGTCTGCAATCCTGTTTCTGCTGTTTTAGTTTTTTTATCTGATTCTTGGGATGATTCGTTAACTGGTTTGAATGAGAGATCGCATAGTTGTAGGAATGGCAATTTCAAATATTTGGACTAAAAGAGCATTTAATTGTTATGTTACCTAGTCTGTAAACCTTGAACTGGCAGGTTTCTGGGCTTCCAAACGAGGAGGAGGCTGTTTATGGAGCATTGGATAAATGGACAGCTTGGGAAACAGAGTTTCCGTTGATTGCGGCCGCCAAGGGTTTAAGAATCTTAAGGAACAGGAGTCAATGGATACGAGTAATTCAAGTATGATGCTTTCCAAACTTTGCATAAAATTATTGAGCTTGTGCAGTGGCAAATTTGATGCTTATTTATACTTTTTGGTGTTTAGTATCATCTTGTCAGTAGTAGGGTGCCTCCGATGTTAAAAATTGCAATCTATTTCCATCTATCTCATATTATTGCATTCGGAACCCTGATTTTCTCGAGTCAGTTGGGTCCATGCTTCAGTTTACTTATTCAAAATCGAATTGCCAAGATTTAGAATTTAGAACTAAGGTTGATCTAATTTTTTCCATCTATGTAAAGCAAAGCCATCTTAAGCATATTCTATAAAGCATTTTATTTCTGTATCATTTAGGCTGTTAAATTTGTGCTGAAATTATAGTTTCCAAGAACATGTTCTGATGTTTAAGTAGTCCATCTGCTCACTTGAATCTGTACTTCACCAATACATATCAGTGTTTGTGTTAACTGAACCAGTATAAACTAAGTTGTGCCTGTTGCATTCACCAAATCCTTGAAGCACTTGTATCTTTTCAGGACTTGTGGGAAGTCAATGGGTCATGATCTTTAGCATCTTGATTTTAGACATGGTCTAAACACGTGAGGCATTGTTTGGTTACGGAAAGCAAGTTTATGGCATTTTTTAAAACCTAATATGATATATTGTTGGAAGTAATTTTAAATCAATACCTACCTAGATTACTACTTTGGTTGAAACATGATTATGTTTTGCGTTGCGTTGGCCTAAAATGTGGACATACAAACACCCTCAAGTTCCAGCAATATATGAATATCATATGCAAATTTGTGAGGCTGTACTGAAAAGTAAACATGAAATCAATGTTATTACCTTAACTTTGGAAGCCCAAGCTTCATAGAAAGGTGAACTGGAGGATCCTAAGATGTGCTGTTAATTCTACTGTGTCATGAGGATCTCTTAATTCACTCGAGTGACAATACTACTGTCGAACTATGTCATCGCATATAAGTTTCTAAGGTTTGGTTGAAGGAATCACTACTAGTTAGGTGATGACATCCAGTTTAAATTTTGATTTCTAAATGTAGCTAAATTGAATGCATATAATCTCCTTGTTTGCTGGTTACTCATCTTCAGTGCTACTCAGGTGGCCAAGTGGATGTTGAGCAAAGGTCAAGGAGCGACGATGGGAACCTATGACACCCTGCTACTGGCTTTTGATGAGGATTGAAGGGTAGATGAGGCGGAATCACTATGGAACATGATTTTGCATACCCATACACGCTCTATCTTGAAGCAATTGTTTTCTACGATGATCTCCTTGTATGATCATCATAATATGCCTGATAAGATAATAGAGGTACTACTGCAAAGAATATTGTTGCTTGCACCTCCATGGCCTTTTGCAATTACATTTGTTTGCAGTTTATATGATGTTTTTTTCATTAATTTTTGGAACAACTGCATATTATGATGCTAAATCTATTCCCTATAAAATGTCAGGTTTTTGCAGACATGGAAGAGTTGAGTGTGAAACCAGATGAAGATACTGTCAGGAGAGTTGCCCATGCCTTCCTAAAAATAGGTCAAGAAGATAAGCAGAAGCTGTTTCTTAAGAAGTACCAGTGCAAATGGAAATACATTCACTTTAAGGGTGAACGAGTTAGGGTAAGAACAGATGCATGGAGTGAATAATGTTGTTTGGACTTCACCGAACGAAATTGGCAACAATTTAAACTTTGGTAGTCAAAGCACAAAATCTGTTTCTTATGACTGTTTCGACATTAGGCCTTGTTAATTGGGGTAGAGCCGTAGAATATAGAGAAACTTTGTGGCTGTTGTAATGGAGATTTAATCAAGTCAACCATCCTTTGCTGGGAAAGAAATGAACTTGCTGTTCCTGTATATGCTTTATAGGTCTTGCCACATTTCTGACTGCAAACTAAATTGGATTACGAGGGTAACATGAATTCTTTCATTTTGGTACGTATCTATATGTAGGGCCTCCATAGATTCATTCCGTGCTGTTGAAATTGGTCTTGTACAGTTCCATTATAAGGCTGATCAATCAATTGATATCATACATACAAACACTTCATTGAATACTATGAACTTTAGTTTAACCTTGTTGCCAGAGTAAGCAATTTGTCTTCGTCTTTAATCATGATATGAATGGCTTGCGGCTGTATTCAGGGTTGTTTTTTATTTTTTATTTTTATTTATTTATTAGTAATTTCTTGTAATTTGGGGTCGTTAGCATGTTTATGTGTTTCTTATTTTCTATTTCTTAGTGTTCCTATTTTTTTTTGGCAGTTTTTAAAAATCAGTTAAGTGTTTGGTAATATTTATTTATTTCTTGAATTTTATAAATGGTAAATAAGAAACATGTTTGGTAACCTTTTAGCAAAAAAAAATAATAATAATAATAAATAAAAATTATTCATATAAAAAATATTAATCCCATTAATTAATATATTCCTCACATATAATAAAAATTAGATTTCTTGAATTGGCTGTTGATTGAAAGATAAACTCGTATTCATCTGTCTCCGAGAAACATAACCATTAATTCCTCTACATACCTAAACCTATATATATATATATATATACACACACACACATACATCAAATTACAAAGAGTAAAACAATTCCTGAGAATCGAAATGGAACAAGGGTTTGTCGTTTGTTCTTAAAACTTGGACTTTTTGAGAACATGTTTCCAAAATCTAAAAAAAGAAATAATAGACTATCAAAAATATATATCTTACCTATTTCTATTTTTTTTTAACCTTTTAAAAATAAGAAATGTCCATTACCAAACTACCCCTGTTTTTATTTACTCTTGTAGAACAATCCACCTAAAGGTGCCGGAATGCGCAGAAGTTGAAGAATGTATTAGTTAACCTCCTTTCTCTTGAGTTGATTCAACAAAGTAGTGAGAGAAGAAATTGAATGGCTTCTACCATTAAGAGGTGCGGGAATGCGCAGATACCGTCGGACCAAATCTCCTCCTCCACCTCCGCAGCCGCTGAAATCATCTGCGGCAACAACGATCTGGTCTCGGAGATCCTTCAGCGTCTGCCGCCGAAATCCCTCATTCGATTCAAGTCAGTCTCGAAAACATGGCTCTCTCTAATCTCCAGTCATACCTTCTCTCTCCTCTGGCAACGGTACCGACAATCCCATCATCCCAAAATCTCCGGCTTTTTCTTGACCTGTACATTCCGAACTGAAATCGATTACATTCCTCTCACAGACATAGATGATGGACAAAACAGGTCTTTAGCTCGCTTTCCCAATATGTTTTTTCAGTGTAATAATCGAACAACAATCATGCACTCCTGCAATGGTTTTCTACTCTGCTGTTTAACTAAGCTTCTTCTCAGATCTTTCCATGTTTACAATCCCACCACCGAGCAATTCTCCACTCTTCCCTGGCCCTTTTCTTTCAATCATTTTCTTCTTCTAGACCCTCTATATTTGGCTTTTGATCCTTTGAAATCACATCACTACAAAGTTGTTTTGCTTCAGAGACTACATAAGAATCAGGTGGGTGATGACTTGTATCAGATTCATATTTATTCCTCGGAAACCAATGCGTGGAGACCCTTTGGTGCTGATCTTTTGTCCGAAACAGCAATGGACTTCAAGAATGGAGTCTATTGCAATGGTTCCATCCATTGGATTTCCTTCGGCGCAGAAGAAGCTTCCATATACTTTGACGTTGATCAAGAAAGATTGTGCTCAATGCCGTCTTCACCAATTTGGAAGGCTCCTAGTAGATACTTGCATTTTGGGGAGTCTAGAGGTCGTTTGCATCTTGCTGGGCCCAATATTAATCATGACCTCATATTTAATGTCCACGTCTATGAGATGGAAAGAGATTACTCTAAGTGGTCATTGAAGTATCGGGTTGACCTTAACACGATTGCTTGTTTTCTTTCACCAGAGATTATTGACCATTATGCAGTGTGTACGCTTAGTTTGATTCGCGAAGAAGATGAGGGAGATGATGTGCATTTGGTGCTATTTATAGGCACAACTGTGATCATCTCCTACAACATTAAGGATAATACTTTTAAGAAGCTTCATGATGTAGCACCCTACCGTGGTTCTTCCTCACGTGAGGTTTTGGCGCTTAATAGCGGTAGAGTCTATCCATACATTGAGACAGTCTTTTCAGTTTGAAAGATGGTATTATATTTTTATCAATTGATGGAGGCACTCTTTTTAATTTGAAAGATCATAATATATTTTTATCACTTGGGTTGATTGGTCACTATCTCAGTGTTTTGTAGATTCAAACTTCAATCTTGAAATCTATTTATTTTACATTATATTTATTAAATAATAATAAATAAAAAAGAATTATCTGTTCAATACTTCTATCTTTAAGAATGGCCACCCCAGAACTAGTTTGTTTTGACAAGTTGCATTAATGCTTACAAGGTAATGTTGTTCAGAGATGCGAACGCGGCACCCAATGTGTGCTAGTAAATCAGTTCTTTATGAATAATGATTTATCACAATCTCACAACCTATATTCAATTACTGAATGCTTCCTTAACTTATTTGTGTTTCTCTACAACCCCATACTTTGCAAATATATTCAAGCAAGAAGAATGAAAAAAGAAGAAATTAAAACAAGAATGATAAGCCTAGGCCAACGATACTGCCATAGGACTTCTAACAAAGTGGATTCCATCAGTCCAAGCATACGACCCGAATGAATACTGATCATTGTCAGTTTTGCTGGCCTTCTCAGTTTCTGCTGTTACGGTTATGGTGAAGCTCTTCTTTTGGCCAACATGCTTAAAGAATAAGATGGGTGGAGAGATCTTAACCGAAAATCCAATAGGTGGTTTGACACTAGAGACATACAAACTCTTGCCGCCACCACCAACATTTGTGACAGTTCTCTTGACAGTCACTGCACCATTGAATTTGGAAATTGCAAGAGATGGGTAGTTGAGATTGTTCGGCGTGGGTGAGACTTTTGGACACTTAAATGATGGGTCAAGCTTTGTTACTCCTTGGCTGCAAAGGAACAGAAGATAGTCAGTGTATGAGGCATCATACACGAGTCCTGGATCTACTGCCTTTGTTGGCCTCAAGTGACCTGATCCGTATTGGAAGGGATCTGCAGGGCTACCATACGCATCAGTAATTGGCATACCCACATTGTTCTTTATTCGTGCTGCAAGATCAAAATGTGCAATATTAATGAAAAATTCATAGGTCATGGTAGGTAGTTAGCATGCATAGGACAAGTATTAGAGTTAAAAGCTGATTAAAATGATACCCTATATAGATTCATAAGAGTACCTGAGGTGATAAGAGCAGATCTTATGGCAGCACTGCTCCAATGGGGGTGTATAGCTTTGAGAAGTGCAGCTGCAGCTGACACATGAGGGCAAGACATAGAAGTTCCTGAAAATATGTTATACTTAACGACTCGGTGATCCTCCTCCAACCTCGTAGGTGATGCTGCTTCACTCCATGCCGCCAGTATGTTTAGTCCTGGTGCTGTGATATCAGGCTGTCAAGCAATCCCAATATTAGAAATTTGAGGTGAATGACAACTTCAAAACCTTTGCTGTCAATTGAAAAAACATCCATAGTAATAATTATTGTTTCTATTACTGCTTGTACATTTGGTGCTGCTAATTACCTTGAGAATATCAGGTGTAATTGTATTGGGTCCCCTACTAGTGAAGGCAGCCATGAATGGTGCTGGTGTATCATGTAGGACAGTCCTAGCTGGGAAGATATATGCCAATGGTTTGTTAGTAGAGTTGATGTACTCCAAAATTCTATTTGCATTGTTAGCATCCACTGCAGTTGAAGGAAGAACATGAGGGTCTAAGGCTAACTCAGCTCCATTTGCAACACCATTTGCTAAGATGAATCCGGCACCCCCAGCTCTTTTCACCTCCTCGCCTTTTCCAACTCGGGTCCCATTCCCTCTAAAGCACATTACAATCTTTCCTCTGGTCTTTTCAGGTGATAGAGAACCAGGAAGGCATTGCCTGCAAAAATTTGAAGTTCAAGTCATCAGCCAAATGTCATCACAATATGCCCCAAAACAAGCATTGAAATGGTAAAAAGGAAAGCCTACTGTGCTGTATCATTTTTGGGCACTTCAGGGTTGACTACTGCTGATGCCAATACTAGTGGGTACATTTTCTTCTTCAGCCTGTATGCAGTTACTGCTTGTCCCTAAAAATTGACCAGAGGAACAAATTGAATTGAAAAAAGAAAATGTGTGACAAGAAATCAAAATGAAGTATCGTAATTTTGTTGATATTTACCCGAATAGTCAAGCCATTTCCAAACACAACAGGTGCCGCAAATACTCTGTCCAAACTACTAGCAGCAACCGTGATGATCCAGGGAGCCGTGTTAGATAAAGTTTCCGGGGCAGGGCCAGAGTTTCCGGCACTACAAGACACTAGGATATTTTTCTTTGTAGCGTGAAGTGATCCGATTGCAATAGAATCCTCGGTGTAAGGTATAGGTTCTTTCCCCCCAATGGAAATGCTTAGTACATGAACTCCATCAGTAATGGCATCATCAATAGCTGCTAGCATGTCTTCATCAAAGCATGTGTTCCCATTTACTTTGCTTACACCTGGAATTGCCCAGCAAGCTTTGTATATCGCGAGGCGCACTAGTGGTGCACCACCGGAGGCAGTGCCACGCGCAAATCCACCTAGGGCCGAGACATTGGACACCCTTCTTCCTCCAACAGTTGAAGATGTGTGTGTCCCGTGTCCATCCCTGTCTCGTGGAGATAGGTAATCCAATGTGCTATTTAGAGGGCCATAGTGATGTTCGTAACCTTTAATGTAGTATCTAGCTCCAATTATCTTCCTGAAGAAGTGGCAACAGAATTGATCAATTTCTATCTTTATGTTGCATTTTCATATCTGTTTGAGTGTAAACTATACAAGTTTGTATGTAATGCAATTGAAACAAAATAATAGATATGTTGACTGAATCAATGATCCTAAACCCATTTTACTTGGGATCACAAATTTCAAGTTATAATGTAGGAGACTTCTTTGATTTTTTAAAAATATTCAAAATGAACAATCTAATTGATTCAAGTCTTGAGGACACCCAATGCTGCCTTCATCTACTTATCCGGCAACGATGAATTCAAATAAGCTATAATTGAAATTGAAATCATAATTTTTGCCCTAAAATCAGTAAGGGGTCCCCAAGATAGTGTTGCAAGTTCATATAAGTGAAAGCACAAAAAAAAAAAAGAAAAAGAAACACTGTTTCCAAATGGAAAACAGCGATAGAAGAATAAATTTGGTCACGGGTTCATTTCAATAATGGAAAACAGGCATAGAACAAGAAAGCGATTACTATGTCACGAAAAAGAACAAAAGTTATATAAACTCACCTATTACAATGTGATGAATTAAAAGCAGTTCCACTCTGGCATATTCCTTTCCATGATTTTGGAATGGGTCCCATTCCTTCATCACTGAAACTCTTAGCCTCCGGCCACACACCTGACCATCATCATCATTAACACACTCATCATCACATGCAATATAACCTGGTATCACTCGTAACATCTGAATCCAAACACAGCGAAAGGAATTGTACGTGGATCCCACCATTGCAAGGTGGCAGAAGAATAGATATTGGGTGTGTCAAGTATACCAAGTCATTGGCATACCTATCCAATGACGATGCATCATTTGAAAAAAAGTTGGCTCACCTATTTATAAAATTACTGACAACAAAATAATGTCTTATATTAGGTGGATATACTTATGACATGGATAATCTAATATTTATATTGGTATTGAATGGCACATTTTCATCCGGAAAGGCAATCAATACCTATGACGTGGTATATGTGATCACCCAATATCTAAGGATACAGATTGGGTTTTTGGAACGAGAATAATTTTTCTACATGGAATTATACTGCTTGGAATAAATCAATCATTCTTCAAACAATACATGCATATATGCAAAAACCTTGTAAGAAAAGGAGAATATATATATATATATATATATATGTAACCAAAGCACTATTTGTTGAGGATTAATATTGTATCACCATTATCAATGAGGCCAACTATGATGTCTTTGCCATATCTAGCTTTCAATAATATGTCTTCCTTGAGGTTGTTCAATTGTTTTCCCTCTTCTAATCCAACAAATTCCCATGACCTCGTAGTATGCAAAGAGTTCTTTCTTGGGTAGCTTCTATACACAGATACCACCTCATCCATTTCTGTTAATATATATATATTCTTCACAATGAGATCGAGATATAGAGAGCAAATTAATCCGAGTAAAAGTAATCCTTATAATAGTAATTTGTAATAGTACCGGATAGTTTTAAGGCTTCATCGGGAGTAAGCACTGCCGCGAAGCCATTGATACTGTTCTTGTAACTGTAAATAAGAGAAGCCTTGGCTTCTTCCTCAGATTCTTTCACAGAGGAGAGATAGGAGTGATGGTTATCTTCAATTTCTTGCAATGTTTTCTCTCCAGTGTGGTGTCCAAAGTATACAATATAGACCTGGAAATTAATGATACAAGTTAATTTGTGCGAGGGGTATATGCGGTACACCAACCTACATATATAATTATATATGTGTGTGTGTAGACATGCATATATGTATATTGGCTGATTTCATATAAAATTAAGAAAAGTAGAAACCTGTTTTTGAACACACGAGGCCAAGAGAGGAATAAGAAATAGTAGTAGGGAGAGAAGCGAAGATTTCATCATAGTTAATGTAATGAACTTTAGAATCTAGAGATCATCATATGAAATGATGGAGGAGTTTATAAGTTTGATATATATATATATATATATCCTGGGTGAGGCTTTTTGTAATTCACTGTTGTGGAATTCTTGTGGACCAAGAACAGCACCCCATGTCACTATACTATCTGACATCTCATGTCATTAAAATAAAAGTAAGGGGATTTATTATCCAGTTCATGTGACATCCGATCATACAATTGGCCGGAGAGGCACTTTATTATTATTATTATTATTAAATTTTTAATTTTAATTTTATTTTTATTTAAGGTAAGTAAACATTATAAATAAAAAGAGTAATATTATGATGACAGGATAAGTTTTTTTTGGCAAACTAAGAAGTGTGCAACAAGGAGTCTTTGTTATAATTAATAAAATATATTTTCTATTCACTCATAGCATTTCAAATGTTCAATCAATATATGATATCAATCGGTTTTAAAAATCGGTCCATACTTTTATCAGAGAAAAAGCGGCCGTACAATCAAAGTTTTTCTAAAAACAGCTGCAAGGCTGCTACTGAGCCAGATTACGCTTGAGATGAGCTGTATTATTAAATATAATGAATTTCTAATGATAAAATTATCTGTAAAGAATAATATCATTTTTATTAAATTAATGAGTCTATAATGATTTTTTTTAGATCCATGTATAAAACTAAAATGTCTAATCATTTCATATTTGAAGTCTATTGATGATGAAATTAGGAAAGGTGTACTATCCTAATAATATTCAGGGTCCATTCGATCCTAATAATAATATACAATGTCCATATCCGATTAATTGATAAGAATATATTTTCCTATTTCGATCATGTAAGGTAAAAGGTTAGTTAGATCATGATGAACTGTTTTTATGACAATTATTACAAAAAGAATCCTTTTCAATTGAGTCAACTATTGTTATTTAATTCATATAGTAGACGAAATGATAAATTAGAAAAGAGACCGATGATTCAGATAACTGCTCTATTCTTATGAGAAGTCACATATGATGAACACAATAAGACTATTGTTGCTTAATTGATCCAAATAATGAGTTTTCTGCTATTGCGATTCTAATTATATATATTCACTACAATGTGTGTTTTTCTTTTCTATTATTTTGTGCTCGGTTTATCTAGAAATTTCATAATCATTCCAGTTGACTACACTAATATGATATATATTATATTAGTATACTTTGAGGCTGTTATAAACTTAGAAGTTAGAACAGATCATCAAAACTGACTTAAACATAAATAACAATATCTTTGAAAATCTGTAAATTGTTGGAACAAGTAATAAAAGATACTAATTTCTTCATATTATTCGAGCAAAGAATCACATAATTTAATGTGTTATAAAAAATTAAAAATATTCGTTTTTAGAGATAGTTATATCTTCTCATTGTTGCGGTCAAAGGAACAAAATTTTAGCACAATTTTTAAAATTCAAAATTAAACTAAATTTAACAATTCATACATTCATATAATATCTATTTATAAATGTACGTATTTATTTCTGTCCAATTATTTATTCAAAATAAAATATAAACTTAAAAAATTATTTTTAAATTCATATGAATATATATCAATTATATAGTAAATGAACAAGTTGGATATGCTACCAAATTGAAATTCTTTCAATTTTTATAATTTTGTTATCGAACTAAATTTTCTATAATATAATTAATTATGTTCTGATTTTTAATTTTTCAAATTTGATTGTCAAAACCATTGCCAGGGCCTCATTCTAATCTTGGGGTTGACCCTCGAAAACTTCATTAAAACTCATCTCGCTCATTATAATGTTGAATTTCATGTCACTATATGTGAATGTCTACCTATAAGGCTCTACTTACCTCATTTTATTCATTAAAGCTCATCTTGTTTAGGGTTATTTTTATCATTCAATAAAAGAAATTTGTCTAAGTAAAACATTTTATTTTACCTAATATTTTACTAAAACTTCAAAAAAACAACTTACGAACTAACAAACTTCTGTAAATCATTTTCCCTTTCCAAATAGATGGCCTTTCGACCTTCGACATCTCTTCAATCAACCAACAACTCTCTCTCTCCAGAGCACAGACCTTCGTCTTTGTAAAACTCTATTGAAACTTGTAGGGGTTCTTTTTTGCTAAGTAATAAAATAGTAATAAAAAGAGATATCAGTAATATAAATACGAAGGAAAACAGAGGAGATGCTTAGTGTAGGAGGAGGAGAAGAAGACCAATTAACTAGATCCAGATGGTGGTAGGGCGAATATACAATGTGACAGCTTTTCTTTAGTTCGGAGAGTTGTTTCTTTCTTCATAGGACAGTGCTATTTATAGATCGTTGGTCATTACCCAATGGTCCCTTCTATGCATAGTTTCTCGCATGCATCACCTTTAATCCGGATTACGCGAGTAATCCTGCAGATTTAGAGGGTTGAAGGGTCTAATCCTTTCCTCGAGCCTTATCCCATGTTGCCATGTCACTTCTCCCCTAATCAGGGGCATTAAATGTTGCTTGGCTGTCGGTTGGTCAAGCCTGACACAACATTAATTATGATTTTAAGGTTTGCTGTCATAACGTGTATAATCCCATCATCTTGTTAATTGGGCCTTGCTAAGAGCGAAGGCACTTCTTGACTTCTCATCCACCAATCCAAGATCCTCCTAAATTTCCCAAATATGGACTCCTATAACACAGAGATCCTACCTCATCTCGTGTTAAGGAGCTCCGATCTCTCAAGACAGTGTCACCTGGCGTAACACCAGGATTCGGAATGCTCGAAGATCAGCCTCTCGAGGCTTACTGGGCTTGGGGCGATGCCAGGGCTTAGAGTGCTCGAGATTTGATCTTTCGAGGCTTGAGGGCCTAGAGCGATGCTAGGACTTAGAGTGCTTGAGATTTGATCTTTCGAGGTTTGGGGGCCTGACACAATGCCAGGGCTTAGGGTGCTCGAGATTTGATCTTTCGAGGCTTGGGGGCCTGGCGCGATGCCAGGGCTTAGGGTGCTCGACATTTGATCTTTCGAGGCTTGGGGGCCTAGAGCGATGCTAGGGCTTAGAGTGCTCGCGATTTGATCTTTCGAGACTTGAGTGCCTGGAGGAATGCCAGGGCTTAGAGTGCTCGAGATTTGATCTTTCGAGGCTTGAGGGCCTAGAGCGATGCCAGGGTTTAAAGTGCATGATCTTTCGAGGGTTTTGACTTTTCAACTTGCCACGGAGGATTTAGCCAGGGTTGTATTGACTTGTCAAAGTGCCACATCAGCGTCTGATAAGTGACACCCACATTTTGCCCCCCTGCACGTGTGATGATTCAAAATGAATTATTGCGCGTGCAAGACTAGGCTTTTAGGTCATTTATGTTTTCAAGGAACCGGAAGAGACGCGAGCATGAAAGGTCGCCTCCAGTTATTAATGCGCCATCTGTTACCGATTTGATTTTTGGGGGTTCCCGAGGCAAGAGGGCTATTAAAAGGGAGGCAGCGACGAAGTGAAGGATTATTTGTGAAAAGGACTTAAAAAGTACAGAGATTACCTGATCCTCCATCGTCGCCGGAGAAGAGATCTCACGAAAGTTTAGAGTTCTTTGGTGCATTATTTGCTTAGTGGAAAGGATTGCCATCATGGTTAGCAAGAAGCAAGAGTTATGCAAGAAGGATTGCCCTCCGCCAAAGGTGCCAGCAGATCCGGAATGGTGACGGGCGCCATTTTTTGGAAAAAAATACCTGTTTTGGCACCGGGCGAGCAAGGCTGTGGTCGCCGGCGAATCACTTGAAGTGGTTGAATTGATAGAGGAGGAAGTTGAAATGAACTTGGCTCCTTGCATCTCTGCGAATACGATCCTGCGATTTGGGGTTGAGCAAGGGCAATATCCATGGTCCTATGTGAACTTCAATAATCACATAAGTCCAGCCCATAGTTGGAAAAAATGGACAGACGCGATCCTTGCAAATCCGGAGTACGAGGCAATCTTGGATGCAGCGAGTTTAACACCGTCTATTAAGCTGTTTCGCCAGATACACATTCCTCGCAATATTGCAGGTTTATGGGAACTAACCTCGCGATGGAGCTCAAGCTCGCACACTTTCATTATTGCGCAGGGAGAGTTTACTCCCACGATTGAGGACGTGAGCCAGTTGTTAGGCTTACCTTTTCAAGGAGTGGAAAATCCTGGCTCTTGGGAGTTCACGCAAGCTGAAGAGACATTAGCTCATGATCTCGAGATAGCACTAGAGAAAACTAAAGATTTTAAGTCGCTGTGGGACGCACAGGGTGTTCGCCATGCTGAGCGAGGCAAGGGTACTCGCAAGGCCACACTTGGGGCGCTGGTGCGATATTATTTTAAGGATTTCCTCATAACAAAAAAGAATCTCATAGAGGAGGGAAGAAAAGGAATTCCAGGTCCCTGGGTTGACCATTCTTCTAGTCTCGCGGCCTATCTACTATGCTGGCTATCGAGATACCTGTTCGAGGGGACTTCGGAGGATGCTTCACAACCACGACTTGTGGATCTGGCGGTGAAGCTGGCGAATGGTGTGAAAGTGGCCTTTGCACCTCTATTCTTGGGAACATTATACCACTGGCTTAACATGGTGTGGGAAGATATGGGGCGATCTGTAAGGCGCTACGTCCATTGCTCGTACACGTCTACCATATTTCTACAATTGTTCTTGTACGAGAGGTTCCAATCTTATGCTCCCATCCCAGCAGACTTGGCTATGGACGAGGAGGTGGTGCGAGGCATGAGGTGGCATGGTCAGTCACAGCGAGGACGGCTAGGATATGCCTTGGACCAAAGCTTCCAATTCATCAGTCGCCCTTATGTGGTGGAGCTTGATGAGCGCCGAATAATGTATATTCAAGCGCCCTAAATTACATTAACAAAGTCCAGTTATTAATTATTTTATGTAGATTAACTCCAATTCTATGTTTTTATGCATTTTCAGGTTCATTGGCCAAAATGGAACAAGAATAAGGCCTTGTGGAGTCTTGAGCAACAAAAGGGTGCCAATGCTGAATTCTGGCAGCAGTAGAGCCTGGTCTTTGCTTGCCATTTTGACCTTCCAAACTCGAGAACTGGACTTCCCTCATAACATGAAAGATTTAGAGCTCTGAATCAGCTTTCCAAATCTTCAAGTGGTTCATCATTCGGAGTTCGGAGCAGAGAGTTATGATCTTCACAACAGAGGTGCGCAGAACTGCCTGGCAGCACTGATGTACTGCCTTTCTCCCCATTTTCGACCAACCAGACTGGAGATTTGGGTCTTCATCAAAACATGAAGTTTTTAAAGCACTGAATCAGCTCTCCAAAGCTTCAAACAGATCGTCATTCGGAGTTCGGGGCACAAAGTTATAGCAGTTTTCCCAAAATAGGTCAGCACTGAGCAAGAGGAGCATGTTGCACATTGCACTAAGTTAGAGTGCTCGAAGTCACCAAGCGTGCGCTCGAAAATTAGGCAGAATGCCCTTCGGAAATGGATCATTTCAGCCCACTTGCACATTGGATTCCTCAATGCCATCTTCCCTCTTTATGAAGTGGTTGGAGGTGTCCCTTGGAGGAGAGAGGGTATGGTTGGAGCATAAAAGGCTACCCAAAGGCCACATATATCATTAAGCTTTATCTTGAGCAAGAGAAAGGAGAGAGAAGAGAGAAGGAGAGGGTGTTCTTGAGTGCTACAGTAGGAGCTCGAAAATGGAGATGAGGATGATGCTTCTTCCTTCTTCTAGCTCACCAATGGGTAACTAAACCTCATCTAGGGAGGTGATGAAACCCCTCCCTTGTAAGCATGTGTTAGTATAGTTTATTTTTGGGGATTACAAGGTATTTTTGATAGTCTTTCCATGGTCAAGAGCCTCACTTTTGTTGTAATGAATGTTGAATGTTTTAAATGATTATTGTGAGTTACTCATCTTGTCTTGGATGGTTGCCTTTCTTAATCATATTGCTTGCACTTCCATGGTGACAATGGAAGTTAGATCATGGAATGGTTTTAATGGCATGGAGTTGGAGAACCTAGATAGTTCATGGCTTAGGGTTTCCCTTTGATGGGCTATACTTGATTCTTAGCTTTATGTGCATTCACCATTTAAATTAGGGCTTGATAATCCTTGGCTTAGTAAGCATGTTCTAAGCTACATTTTAGTTTAGGTAGTTGATCATGTGAACCTTTGATGGTTTATTCTTGCCTTTCTAATTAAATGAACTTCTTAAGGATATTATAGCAACCTAGTATTGTTATGTATCATGACTTTCATATATGTTGTTTTCCCCTTAAATTAATCTTAACCTAGCATGTGTATAGGGATGGAGGTGGATTCATTTCCCTAGCCTTCTTTACTTGTACTCACTCCCTTAAATTCTTGCAATTTACTGTTTTATGCACTTTTAATTTCCTAGCTTAAGTGACATCCAACAAAACCTCTATACACCCTTCATCATTCTAAGAATGATTCTAGACATTTAGGTTGTATTAGACTAGCGTAGTCCCTGTGGTTCGACTTACCCGACCAATAGCCCTATTTTACAATGATTCGTGCTATTGCGAAGGTTGATGTATGATTGACCAACCGATCAATTTTTGGCGCCGTTGCCGGGGACTGCAAACGGTTTAGCAACCAAAGTTTAGGGTTAAATTTAGTTTGATTGTGAATATTGTGTCTTGTGAATATTCCTTGTGTGTTTTGACCACCTTTGTGTTTTAAGTGTTGTAAGATTCTAGGGACTCGAAGCTCGCCGTGGGAATGCTAGCAAATTGTAAGTCTAGAGGACCCCAGGTAAGTCTCGTGACTTCTAGTTTCGAGTTGTGAATATTGTGCATGTGTTAAATTTAGTTTTAGTTTAGTTGTGAAGCCCTTGTTGAGGCTCTTATCCTGTTTAAATTTTGTGTTAAAGCATCGGTCCTTGTCGTGGCCATTTACATTTTCCGTCTTGATAATTGAGGAGAAAGGGAACATCGTATGTGGAGTTGTGGTTGATGAATTGCTTTGATTGAGTATATGCTTTATTGTTGATGTTCGGTCGTAGGTCACTTTCCTTACCCACAATCGATTCGCCCATTGATATCAATTCTCTTGAAAGAACTCTTAGACGGAACCTTAGGGAACCCACTCTTACAAGGGACCTTGAAACTGAATTCAATATAATGGGGGATAACGTAGGAAATCCGGGGAATGAAAGGGCTGAAATTCCTAATATCGAGCCAATGACTCTTAGAGATCATTTCATCCCTACCACCTATGCTTCTCCATCTTGCATAGTGATGCCAAACATCGATGCAGCTCAATATGAGATCAAGTCTAGTACCATTCAAATGCTTCCATCATTTCATGGCTTTGATAATGAAGATCCATACAAGCATCTTGATGAGTTCCTTGAAATCTGTTCAACCATCCGGTTGAGAGGTTTTCCGGACAATGCACTTCATCTCCATCTCTTCCCATTCTCCCTAAAAGATAGGGCAAAATATTGGTTGAACTCCCTCGCTCCCAACTCTATTACTTCTTGGGCTCAATTGCAACAAGAATTTCTTAAGAAGTATTATCCGGTGAGTAAAACCAACCAAATGAGGCGTTCCATTCTAAGCTTTTCTCAAGTTGATGGAGAACAACTCCACGAGACTTGGGAAAGGTTACAAGATCTTCTTCGGAAGTGTCCTCATCATTTGATCCCAAAATGGCAATTAGTGCAAGCTTTCTATGCCGGCTTGACCGAAACCCATAGATTCATGGTTGATTCTTCTTGTGGTGGGATGTTCATGTCCAAGAATGCGGATGAGGCTTGGACCTTACTTGAGAATTTGAGTGAAAATTCACTTCAACACAATTCTCGTAGGGCTCCGACCCCAACCACTCCAAGCAACACCAACCCTTGTCAACCAAAGTCAATAAGGGAGGAATCATCTCAAGTGGATGCCATCGCTCATAAATTCTATCAATTGATGGCACCACATCTTCCTCCTTCATTGTCTCAAAATTCGGCAAGTTCAGTTTGTGCTTCATGTACTAGTCCATTCCATCTCTCGGAAGATTGCCCCACAACGGAGCAATTTCCTAGTCCCAACCAAGAGCAAGCTAATGCCATGTTCTCGCGGCCCGGGAACAATCCATATTCCAACACCTACAATCCGGGTTGGCGTGATCATCCGAATTTCTCATGGCGGCAACAAGCCCCACAGAATTCCCAATTCCAAAACCAAGGGCGGCAAAATCAGCCCTCTTCTCAATATCAAGGTAGACCTTTCCAAGCCTCTTCAAGCTACCGTCCTCCTTACAATCCAAATGTCTCCAATCAACCTCCTGTGTGTCCAACTGACGAGATAGTAGCTGCAAACAAGCAAATGATGGAATCATTAAATAAGCAAATAATGGATGCCAACAAGCAACTCTTGACATCCTTGCAGCCTACTCTCCAAATGGTCCACTCTCATACTCAATCCATAGCTAATCTCGAAAATCAAGTGGGCCAAATAGCTAACTCGGTGAATCAATTGCTTCAAAAGGACAAGGGCAAGTTTCCCTCTCAACCTTTTGAAAATCCTAGAGGAATGCATGTGATTGACGAAACCCCTCCTCCGAGTGGGCCGACTCATGAACAAGTTCAAGCTATCACCACCCTTCGGAGTGGTAGAGTGGTGGACAACAAGGTCGATGGAGACAAAAGTGAAGAAGTTTCGCCGTTGAAAAATCCAAATTCAAGCTCTTCTAATCCAAATTCTTGTCCCAATACCATTCACGGATATCCCACACATGTCTCCCCAAATGTGGAAACTACTTATGAGCCAAAAGCTCCGTTTCCTCAACGTCTTCAAGAGTCGACACACTTTGGGAACAAGAATTGTAAAATTCAAGACATGTGGGAAGTCTTCAAGCAAGTGAAGATTAACTTGCCCCTGTTGGATGCTATCAAGCAAATCCCTCCCTATGCAAAATTTCTCAAAGATTTGTGCACTCAAAAGCGCACTTCTAAAAATCATTTGCCAAAAAAAGTGAGGTTGACTGAAAATGTTAGTGCTATTATTCAGCACAGCACTCCCCCGAAGTATAAGGATCCGGGTGCCCCCACAATCTCGTGCGTCATTGGTGACAGCAAAATCGAGAGGGCCCTCCTTGACTTAGGAGCTAGTGTGAATTTAATTCCATACTCGGTCTACCTACAACTTGGTTTGGGCGATCTTAAGCCGACTTCCGTGGTTTTGCAACTTGCCGATAGATCGGTCAAGCATCCACGAGGTATTCTTGAGGACGTCATCATCAAAGTGGACAAATTCTACTTCCCGGTAGATTTTGTGGTTCTTGATACGGAACCAGTCCATGACCCAAAAAAGCACATTCCCGTGATCCTTGGTAGACCATTTTTGGCTACGGCTAATGCATCAATTAATTGCAGAACCGGGGTGATAGACATTGCTTTTGGAAACATGCAAGTCAAACTCCACATCTTTCATGCAACTCAACATCCCTCCAATGAGGATGATTGTTTTCTTGTGGATGTCATTGATGAAGTGGTCGAAGAATCTCTCCCCTTCATCCTAAGCAAAGATCCCCTTGAAACTTGCATGTCTCATTTTGACTTCTCAAACTTTGATGTTGATCAAGCCATTCAAGAAGTCAATTCCTTGCTTGATATTAATGCTATCATGGATGTACCTCCTTGGAAAATTCCAAAAGAACCACTTCCCCAACTTTTTACCACTCCTCCGGTCCCATCATTGTTATCTCCGCCACAACTTGAGCTTAAGCCGCTCCCGGCCCATCTCAAGTATGTGTTCCTTGGTCCAAAGTAAACCCTTCCGGTCATTATTGCCTCGGACCTTCAAAAAGACCAAGAGACCAACCTTTTAGCAGTGCTCCAAGAGCATAAAGAAGCTATTGGTTGGACAGTGGCAGATTTGAAAGGAATTGACCCCTCCATTTGTATGCACCGCATTCATATGGAGGATGACGCAAAGCCTACTAGAGAGGTCCAGCGCCGGTTAAATCCAAACATGAAGGAAGTGGTCATGAAAGAGGTGATCAAATTGCTAGATGCGGGAATCATCTATCCTATCTCTGATAGCAAGTGGGTGAGCCCCACACAAGTTGTCCCCAAGAAATCCGGGCTCACCATTGTTGAAAATTCAGCGGGCGAGCTCGTGCCACAACGAACCACCACCGGGTGGCGTGTGTGCATTGACTATCGTAAACTCAACTCATCAACTAGGAAGGATCATTTCCCGCTCCCATTTATTGATCAAATCCTAGAAAGGTTAGCCGGCCAAAGCTTCTATTGTTTTCTTGATGGTTATTCCGGCTATAACCAAGTGGCCATCGCCCCCCAAGATCAAGAGAAAACAACATTCACATGTCCCTTTGGTACTTTTGCCTATCGACGCATGCCTTTTGGTCTATGCAATGCACCGGCAACGTTCCAAAGGTGCATGATGTCCATATTCTCCGATATGGTTGAAAGGTTCTTGGAAGTTTTCATGGATGACTTTTCCGTATTTGGCTCCTCCTTTGACTCGTGTCTCAAAAATTTATCTCTTGTGCTCCAAAGATGCAAAGAGACGAATCTCATTCTAAGTTGGGAGAAAAACCACTTTATGGTCCAAGAAGGCATTGTTTTAGGACATGTCATTTCTAAGCGGGGAATCGAGGTAGACAAGGCAAAAGTTGAGTTAATCTCTAATCTTCCTCCTCCGAATTCCGTCCGTCAAATCCGTTCTTTTCTTGGCCATGCCGGATTCTATCGTCGCTTCATCAAAGATTTTAGCAAAATCTCACGGCCCTTGTGTAATCTCTTAGCCAAGGATGTTCCGTTCAATTTTGATGACGCTTGCATGGAAGCTTTCATCAAACTTCGCATTCTCCTCTCCTCTGCCCCGATCATGAAACCCCCTAATTGGTCTCTTCCCTTTGAGATCATGTGTGATGCATCCGATTATGCATTAGGGGCGGTTTTGGGCCAACGTGTGGATAAACTTCCGCATGTCATTTATTATGCTAGCAAAACTCTCTGTGATGCCCAATTGAACTACACCACCACTGAAAAAGAATTGCTAGCTGTGGTGTACGCCTTGGATAAATTTCGCTCCTATCTTCTTGGCTCCAAGGTCATCGTCTTTTCAGATCATGCCGCCCTTAGGCATTTGTTAGCGAAAAAAGAGACAAAACCCCGCTTAATTCGATGGATCCTCTTACTTCAAGAGTTTGACATTGACATCCGGGACAAAAAAGGGACCGACAATGTTGTCGCCGATCATCTCTCTCGCTTACTTATTGAGAAATCTTCGGAATTTGCAGCCATCCGTGATTCCTTTCCGGATGAGCAACTTCTTCAAGTTTCACATTCTACTCTTCCGTGGTTTGCGGATATTGTCAATTATCTTGCGGTTGGCAAAATTCCAGCTCATTGGTCCAAACAAGAGAGGGACCGGTTTTTCTCCCAAGTCAAGCATTTCTTTTGGGAAGATCCGGAATTATTCAAGTATTGCCCGGACCAAATCATCCGGCGATGTATTCCTGAAACCGAGGCCACAAGCATTTTAAATTTTTGCCATACTCTTGCTTGTGGAGGCCATTTCAGTGCCAAAAAGACCGCTAACAAAATCCTTCAAAGCGGATTCTTTTGGCCTACCTTGTTCCGGGATGCATACAATTTTTGCAAATCGTGTGAACGATGTCAAAAACTTGGATCCATGTCCCGAAGAGACATGATGCCCCTCACCAACATTTTAATTGTTGAAATTTTTGATGTGTGGGGGATTGACTTCATGGGACCATTTCCATCTTCTTATGGCTATGAGTACATCCTTGTAGCGGTGGATTATGTGTCTAAATGGGTTGAAGCCGCGGCTACCAAAACCGATGATCATAAAGTCGTGATCCATTTCATTCAATCTCACATCTTTAGTCGTTTTGGTACACCCCGAGCAATCATTAGTGATGGCGGATCTCATTTCCGAAATCATTATCTCAAATCCGTCCTTGCTAAGTATTCAGTCATTCATAAGGTTGCTACACCTTACCACCCTCAAACGAGTGGTCAAGTAGAGATTTCTAACCGGGAGATTAAGCACATTCTAGAAAAAACGGTTAGACCGGATCGCAAAGATTGGTCATTACGGCTAAACGATGCACTTTGGGCTTACCGGACAGCTTATAAGACACCCATTGGCATGTCACCATATCGACTTGTCTTTGGCAAAGCATGTCATCTCCCGGTGGAATTAGAGCACCGTGCTTATTGGGCCGTAAAAAGGTTCAATTTTGATCTCAAACAAGCCGGCTCTAATCGTGCGTTGCAATTGAATGAACTTGAGGAATTGCGTAATGACGCGTATGAAAATGCAAAAATTTACAAGGCAAAGACTAAAGCTTTCCATGACAAACACATCGTCAAAAAGTCTTTTGCCCCGGGACAAAAGGTCTGGCTTTTCAATTCCCGCTTGAAACTCTTTCCCGGTAAACTCCGGTCAAGATGGGATGGTCCATACATTGTCACTACCGTCTTTCCTCATGGAGCAATCGAACTTCATGATCCTGCAAGTGGATCACTCTTCAAGGTAAATGGCCAAAGGCTTAAGCCTTGCATTGACAGCACAATTCTAACCCGAAAAGTTGAGGAAGTCCCCTTGACGGATCCCATTTATGAGGAATAGTGCCTGCTCTAACTGCGTCTAGCTATCGACATTAAATTTAGCAAAGCAAGGGAATAAATTCTTTCGATGTTCCAAGCTTCTCTACCTTCTTAAATTGCTCGTGCCTTGAAATTTTCTGGGAAATGGTTTCGATAAGCCAAAAATTTGATTTTTCTAAAATGGTCTTCAGTTGTGTTTCGCAATTTTAGACTGGCCTCTTAGACCTTCTTAGCTCTAATTTTCATTCCCGGAAATTTCTATCGCTTTTGAGCAATTTCATAGGACCTTTGGCATGCAACTCATGTGCACAACCTCTCCTTTTCAATGCATTGTTGAATCATGGTTCCTCAAAAAAAAAAAAAAAAAAAAAAAAAAAAAATTTCATGCATTAGAGAGAAGCTTCAAGGTTTGAAAATTTTCTCAAAACTTTCCAGGCATTGGAGATGAAATGCAAAGTTTGAAAAATTTTCATCCAGGCATTAGAAATGTTGAGCAATTTGACAATTTTTCCACAAATTTTCTATCCATGCATTGGAGAGGTGTTACATTTTGAAAAAAATTTCCAATTTGATCCATGCATTAGAAAGAAGTTGAACAGTTTTCCAACTTTTTCTAAAAATCCATCCATGCATTGGATTGGAATAATGTGTCAAGTTTCAAATTTTCCATGCATGCCTTGAATTTAGGACTGACATGCAAATTTTCAAAAATTCTCTATGCTTAAAATTTTCATTTTTGAGAATTCTATCCCTTTTGCATCATGTTGAAATGTTTTAAGTTTGGAATTTTCATTTTTGAGAATTCTATCCCTTTTGCATCATGTTGCCAAAAGCTTGAAAATTTTCTTAAACTCATCCATGCATTGTGTGCAGTGCAAAGTCAAAAAAAAAAAAAAAAAAAAAAAAAAAAAAAAAAAAAAAAAAAAAAATTTTCATCCATGCATTGGAATGGAATGAATTTGCAACGTTTAAAAAATTTTTTCTTCAGAAATTGCATTCAAGCTTTGTGTGATGTTGTAAAAGTTGTAAATTTTTCCATGCAATTTAAATTCATGCATGCATCAGTAAAGAAAAACATTTCCATGAAAAATTTCCAGAAAAATTTTTTCCATGCAATTTTTTCCATCCATGCAAGCTCATGCATGGCCATGCAACAGCATTCAAGCTCCATTCAAGGTTCAAGCACCACAAATCATGAGCCTGCTGCCTTCATTTAGAGCATTCTAGCTCCCAGTTGGAGTGCTCTAAGCTTTTTAGCCCATCTTCCGCAGCTGCATGCTACTGCCTCAGAATCGAGCACTCGTAGCCCAAGCTTCGAGTGCTCGAAGCTTCACCATTTGCTTGGCCAACTCACTGCTCTCATTTCGAGCACTCGAGCTTCCTCTTCCGAGTGCTCGAAATCCCCATACAACCCACTCGAGCCTGCTGTCTCCATGCAGAGCACTCGCCCTCCCCCTTGCGAGTGCTCGAAGACTCCATCCCACTCAGCAAACCTCTCAACCTCCACCACCCTGCCTGCTTGCATGCACGCCCATGCGTGCATGCCACCCCTCTCACCTCATCCCCCCTCCCACACCCTCATCCTCTCGGCTTACCCCCATGCATGCACAACACCATGCACAACCACTCTTCCCAAACCAAACCATACATCCCCACCATGCATGCATGCATGCACGTCCATGCATGCATGCCACCTCTCAAACCCACATTCTCTCTTTCTCGGCAACTTCAAGCTCCCTCAACTCACCACCATTCAAAACCCACCAACCATGTTCAGCTTTCAGCTCACTCAATCCCAAGCCCTCGCAGCCATCCCATGCAAACCACACCCTGCATGCAAACCCTCAACTCTATCTCACACCATGCACACCAACCTTCCTCTCTCTCTCTTCCCAAACCAAACCATACATCCCCACCATGCATGCATGCATGCACGTCCATGCATGCATGCCACATCTCAAACCCACATTCTCTTTCTCTCAACAACACACCCTCCAACACCCTGCACCACTACCACCTCTCGGCCTCCACCCCTCACCACCCAGCTAACCACCTTCCTGCATCCACCCTCTCGGCCATGCATGCATGCAGGCCCATGCATGCATGCCACCCCTTCCACCCCTCACCACTCCCCTCACCACCCTCCTACCAACCATCACAACCAACCTTCACAACCAACCTCAAACCCTCACACTGCTCAAACTTCGAGCACTCGAAGACCCAGCCTCGAGTGCTCGAACTCCCCTTCACACACCCGAGCCCCTCACCCAACTCTCTGCCCCCATTTCGAGCACTCGAAGTGGGCCTTCGAGTGCTCGAACCAAGCTCTCACTCTCCCTCTTTTAAACCCCGAAGCTACCACCTCACTTTCCTCCCCCTCTCTTGGCTCCAACTTCCCCACCCTTATTGCACCCACTTTTCACCTCTCTCTCTCTCTACCTTCCCCAACCACCTGCTCGACCCTCTCACACACCACACCAGCTTTTCTCTCCCTCCCACTCACAACCAAGTGCACAACCACCAGCATGCACCACACCTTGCTTGCATGAACATCCAACACCCATCATCCTCGCAGCCAACTCCTCCACCCACCACCTTCAGCATCCACTTGCATAACCAACCCACCTCCATACCTCACCACCCCATCCTCTCACCTCCCTCTTCCTGTCTTCCTTCTTGCTCTCGGATACCCTGACATTCAGGTTTGTGTCCTCTTCCTTAGTTTTTCTTTTCCTTTGTTCATTCATGGTGTTTTACACGGAGGATGGGCTAGTAATGTTGGAGTTTGGTTTTGTTGATGATTTGTTGTTGCTTTGTCAATGCTAGTGCTTGTTTCCTTGTTAAAAATTTTGGGTTTGCTCCTCCATCCCACTCACTTTCCTCTTCTCCTTTTTGTGGTGCACGCCAGGTGTTCGCTGAAATTCCTCAACCAAGTCCACCTCTCTAAATGTCTCGTGCCGGTCCTTCTCGCCCTCCTCGACCCTCTTCAGGTGCCCGTGCTGTCACTCGTGAGCGACCACGTGATCCTTGGGATCGCAAACAACTCAACTACGAACTCTCATTTCCGCTCACGGATGCCTTTGACATTCTACCCACAACTTCGTGGGCTGTCGCCGAATTGACTAACCGGCGTCTGCAACACATTTGCGCACCCCTTGCCAGGGTTGCCTACCCCCGTGTAGTGCGCCTCTTCTACCAGAATCTCCAGTGCCCTGAAGAGCCACCCATTTCTCTCACTACATCCATTGACGGCACCGCCTATGCTTTCACTATGACCGACATCATTCAGGTTTCTGGTTGCCCCATTGAGTGCCCCGATGACATTGTCAATCGTGAGAATCTCCCTTTATATGAGGAGCCGGATACATTAACTGTGGCGCAGATTGCCGCTGCCATTTGCCCTATTGACGATCCTACTCGGCCCCGGTCTTTTATCCGCAAAACCAATCTTCCGGAACGTCTATGGTTCATTGACACTGTCTTCAAGCACAATGTTTGCCCTTTGGTGCACAGCACCGAGCGTCGGGGCCTCTTTCTGCAAGCCTTATATGCCATGGACCAAGGCCAATGGTTCTCCATCCCAGAGCTCATTTGGTCCACCTTTATGAAGTTTTGGCATGATGCTCATAATGCACGGGCTCCGCGAGTTGAAAATCGGAAATTGCCTTTGCCGTTTTTCATCACTCGACTCCTTCAGCACAAGGGTTTCGTTGTTCCTCCCCACGAACCAAGAGGCGACAAAATCAAAATCTTTACCCAGTGCCGGTGGATCAATGTTCTGAGCCATTCTAGTACCCCTCCGCCTCCTGCCCCCCTGTTCATCCACGCTCCACCTCCTCCTCCTTCTGAGGCAGTTTCCACCGCCGCAGCCACTGCGAGGATAGAGCCTTCGGTCGACTCTCACCAGGACCAGGCTTTCATCCGGGCTTCCATTGCCGGTATTCATGCGCGACTAGATCGTTTTGAGCATTCTTTGTCCGCGTGCACTCAGGCTCTGTGTGAGTCTTCTTCACGTGCTGAGGAAGATCGTCGTCTTGCTGCTGAAGACCGCCGTGTCGCCGCTGAGGACCGTCGTTTGGCTTCCGCTGAACGGCGTAAGACTCAATCTCTCCTCCATTCCATCCTCGCCCGTTTACCTTCTGGCCAGTAGCTTGTTGCGCGTGTGGACCTTCTCTTTTGTTTCATCTGTACCTATTTCTCTTGTATATTTTGTTTTCCTTTTAAACTGTAAGAATTTGCTATGTATAGGTTACTCTGGTCGACATGATCCCTGTACAGTTCTTTTTGTCATCATGTAAACTCTTTTTGCAATGCAAGTTCTTTATGTTCTGTTAACTTTCGATACATTCGTTTTCTGTCTTTATGCTTGTGCTATTAATATGTTTGTGGTTGTTTCTTTTGGTTCTTCATATTGCTTTCCAGGTTGCGCAGTCCGGTTCAAGTTTGGGGGTTTTTGTCTCCAAATGCCATTCCCTCCCCCGGGTATTGTTGTTCCTTTTATACTCGTTGTCATTTTTGTCTCTCACTTGCATCCATGTCCACATTGAGGACACTGTGTCGTTTAAGTTTGGGGGTGCATCAAGCATTCTTGGCATATTTTTGGTTCCATAATTTTTGCTAAGCAATGATAGTATAACTTGACACTTGTCGGAGATGAAACATATGTTTAATACCTTGTGTATAGAAGCAATTGAAAAATTTTGAAAATAAAGAAAAATTTGAGTTGAAATGATCATGTAAATACAATGTAGTCTGTATAAATGCCTCAATTAGATTCTTGCTGGATTTACACTCTTATAAGCTTCACAATGCACAGATGCACATTGGAAACTTAACTGTGAGGCATGCAACTTGATTGACCTTGACCTTGGCCTAGTTAATCTGATTTGATGAACCTGATAGATGGATACCTTTGGCATG